CGGTCCACAGCTGCAGTTCTCCAGAATCCCTCACTGACTGCAACCAGCAAAAGCACAAACATCAAAACTCACTTAAAAGACACTGACCTAAATTACACATGCCATCACAAGACACTGTAATTATTGAGCAACACAAATGTTTTACCACACAAATGTTCTTCTCAGTTTGTGAAAAAGCTGCTGCCACAAAGTTGCCACTGGGAACATCCAGGACCGTCACAATCTTGTCTGACTGGTTTGGGTTCAACATATAGATTTGGCCCTGAAAAACAAGAAGCCTGTTATACTCTCAGTACATCTTCTTTCTCACGTAACATGTTATTATTTTATAATGTATAATGTGTCACACTATGGTGCATTTAAATACTTACTGTATTCGAAGATAAAAGTAATGTTTCATAGTCAGGGGAGTACATCACAGCTGTGACAGGTCCTTCTAATTGCCATGTTTTTTTTATGTCAATCTGAGTCCCTTTGATTTGTAGACAGTGCACCACGCTCTCCTGTAAAACATTAGCATTTTAAAGTGTTCTTAAATTACAATTGAGTAATTGAGAATTTCTGAAGCCTGAAATCAATCAGATCATTGGATTACTATACATTATTCTTTATTAAATTTGAAGGTAGCATACAGATGTATGAAGATGTTAATGGTCTTTTACCTTTCCTACAGCGATCAAACCATTGTTGTTAAAGGTTAAACCTTTAAAGTTGCTCTCCCTGAGTTCAGGGATTGCATCAGCAGCTGAACAAAAGTGAAACACAAACCAGATATCAAATGTATTTTCTATAGCCAAATAAAATACAATAATATATGGAAGACCAGAAATACTCCCAGTGAGTTCTTAAATATCAACCACCAGTGTGTGCGTGTGTGCGTGTGTGTGCGTGTGTGTGTGTGTGTGTGTGTGTGTGTGTGTGTGTGTGTGTGTGTGTGTGTTTACTTGTGGGGTTGAAGAGGACTGTGACAGAGACGTTCTCAGGGTCAACAAGAAGCAGAAAACCTTCTGCACAGCCCACATAAAGCTCTGATGTGGCCGTCCAGCAGATGGCAGTAGGAGTCAGTCTGGCTTTGGTGCAGAGTTTAGTCTGTGCAAACACATGTGGAGTGGGGTAACAGTTTACATTTTGTCTTTGTTTGTGTGTCTGTTAACAAAATAGTTTCCCTAACAAATAGATTCATGGATCCAAAAAAAAAATCAAATCTCCAAAACAAACATATTAACTGGTTAAAGTGTATTTATTTTGGCACTGTTACAAATACCACAATGCTTTCTGTCCTTTCTCCCATGAGCCCACATATGGCTGATGGAGCCATCTCTGGACCAAAATAGGGCAGTTTGTCACTGACAGTATGAGAGGTGGGCACCAATTTCTCAACAAAGGAACCATCAGTCGCTGGAAGCTCTATCACACTGCAATGCAACAAATACGACATACACATTAGTAATATTGTTTGACACTTAATTATCTAGATTATGCATGTTTCATCAGTCCCCATTCCACTTGCTGCTTATTGAATGTCAAGGATAAATAATTTCATTTATAAGTTAATTCATATGCAATGCACAGGCAATTTCATGTGCATATATCAATTTAGTTTTTAACTACTTGCTTGTGAAGCCAAGTATGCATTTACCTTGGTTTCAGGACATTCAATCTGGCACTCTTCTCAATATTCCAGACAGTGAGGGATGTAGTGCCCAAAGCACAAAGCTGTAGCCAATTCATTGGGTTGAACACCAAAGAAATGACATTGTGCCCAGCTTGTGGTTGTGCACAAATAGGAACAGCTTTTTCCCAGTCCCTGCATCACACAGTCATGGTTAATGTAACAGAGCTGTTCAGCCTAAATAAACATAGTTGGAAATGTTAAGCGCACAATACAAGATAGTGTACTGCTTTCAGTGGCTTACCACACTGTTATGGTGTGGTCTGGAAGAGAGGAACAACTGCCCAAATAAGGACCACCATCACTTAATGTCAGAGATGTGTAGTCCAGTTGTGCTTTTCCTAGAAAAAGAATTAATGGTAACTATTTAGGATTTGTGAGAGAGAGAAAAAATGTAGGACGGATGCATACAAACAGACAAAAATAACTCAATACATATTGGAAGAAAATTACAGGAAATACAGAGATCTCAGCTGGGAGAAAAGATCACATTACCTTTTAATTCATTCTTCAACTGAGACTCAGGGAAAATGTACACAAATATAGATGGTGATAGCTTTTGCTCAGAGAAAGCAAAAATCCCATTATTGCCATTGGCTGTCAATACACCAATGCCTCTGCCAGGACTCTGAAGCACACTTTGCGTTTTTGTCTCCAGGTTCAGGAAACAGACATGGCTCCCGCATGGATAACATACTGTTTTATTGTCGACAAACTCGATACTCTTGTTTGTAAAACCTTGTATCCACCTGGAGGGAGTAAAAAGGCAAAATATTAGATAGAAGGTAGCAACGGTAGCTTAAGTAACGACATGGTGGGTTTTTTAAAACAACGCTGGTGAATTGTGTTTTTATGCAAGCTTAACTGCTATGAACGACTGTGGCTAACACTGTATATTGAGGGTGTATATATACGAGTCTACAGAAGCAAAAATAAATAGGTGTATTAGTAGCGGCGACATACCTGACTTCTAAACCTCCAATGTCGTCCATTTTAAGTTAAAACAAAATGACACACAATAAAATTCAACTTTTTTTTTTCACCAACAACAGTCAAACGAACGGGCGAGTGGTTGCGTCTCCCTGGCAACCAGAAAACTCCTAAGTAACCACCCTTTCATACTATTGGCTGATACTTTATCTGACACGCCCATACCGGAAGAAGGCTACAAATAAAATAATTCAGCCGTAAAACACTCACACCACAGAGCGCTCTCATCTGGGTCGTTGTCTTTCTCAGTTCTTGCCAAGGTTACTGATTTCATTCACCACCTAAAGTGTAAACATGTCTACTGAAAAGTGTTTCGCCAAAGGTAAGACGTACAGCGATCACTCAGCTAACGTTAACTGAGAAAATAAATGTTGCATTGTCAGTTTTTTGCTAGCAGGCTAAGATACGATTACCATAACATTACTCTTTTTCACTTCCGCAAATCTGTCACATGCTTATGAGAGGTTTGTACATGTTCACTGTTGTTTTCCGACTGAATGCGTTGCTTCACATTGAAACTTTCCACGCTGCTAAATGTTTGCCATCCCATTCATTTCTTCCGCTCTGTCTTGTGCTGTAACCATTGGCAGTATACGTGACGTTTCGAAATGTCAGAAACAATATAAGGACGGATGTTGTGTTTTTTGCACAGTCATTGTGACTGTGCGTTTGTGAAGCTCACGGTAGATAACAGGAGGGTTTTACAAATAGGTCAAATAGTCCCCACCTTTATGTCCCATCTAATTGAGTGCACTTTTAAAGATTGCATTGACACAGCGACTCTCTGTGGATACTCTGATGTTTGACAGACAAGAAGTTACTTTGCTGATATTATGAGTTACTCGTTTAAAATGTACAGTAAAGGTTACTGCAGTTACTCATTAGAACAGATCATGTAATAGTATCTCCTGTGTGACTGTAAAAGGCTGAAAGGATAAAGTTCAGACTGTTTTACATTCAGTATTACTATCAGTAACTTGTACTTAAAGTATCAAAGTATTCACAGTCTCTTCCAGATTGTCATACATATTATATTATTGGGTTGTTGTTATTATTGATGTATAGCATTTTAATGATGATCGAGGTGGAGATCTGCTGGGTAGTTTAATCTGTGACAATGCATCATACTTTATAAAATGTTCATGTTTAGTATGTAGAATATTAATATTATAAAGTAGAGAGTATACCAGTTGACCTATATATTATGTTTTCCAGTATATAATGCAAAAATGATTGTAGTTTTTTAAGGACTAATGTTTGCTTTATTTTTTTTTTTTTTTTTTTTTTTTTCCCTTTTTTAAAAATGGTTTATTTCAATTATGAAATTATTTAAAGTTGAAATAATAAGTAGCTTAAAATGGAAACACTAGTAAGTTTTTTTTTTTTTTTTTTTATCCTTCCAGGAAGTGCTGCACCAGGTCCAGTCCCCGAAGGACAAATCAGAATTTACAGCATGAGATTCTGCCCCTTCGCCCAGAGGACCAGATTAGTGCTGAATGCCAAAGGGATCAAGTAAAGATACACTATTATTATACTTTATTTATAAACCCTAGCGTCACAGTTAGCTTAACGTGAAATTCATGTAATCAGAGCTTTTGATTAAATTTGCAGAACCTGTTTTTGTCTTTCAGGCATGACACCATCAATATCAACCTGCAAAACAAACCTGAGTGGTACTTTGAGAGGAATCCCTTTGGTCTCGTCCCAACACTGGAGACACCTGCTGGTGAGGTGATATATGAGTCTCCCATCACCTGTGAATACCTGGATGAAGTTTACCCCGAGAACAAGCTGCTTCCCTCCTCTCCTTTTGGGAAAGCTCAACAGAAGATGATGCTGGAGCATTTTTCCAAGGTATCTTATATGAAGACTTGCACCTAAATTCTGGGGTTCTGTTTTGTACATTTCTCTACAGTTGCCATCATTAAATAATCATATTAATGCCACTGTTTTCTACAGGTAACGCCATACTTCTACAAGATCCCCACAGGGAGAAAGAATGGCGAGGATGTCTCAAAACTGGAAGCTGAACTGAAAGAGAAGTTTGCCAAATTAAATGAGGTAGGTTGTGAAGTCAAGAAAGTCTGATTTCTTTACACATTCACAAGATGTGTAAAAGTGAGATCATCCATGTGTCAGTCTGTATGACTGTATCTGGCTAGTTTAGTGTTTTATAAGACTCTGATGAATGTAATGTTTATTTTTCAGGACTTAGTTAATAAGAAGACCAAGTTCTTTGGTGGTGATTCCATCACAATGATCGACTACATGATGTGGCCTTGGTTTGAGAGGCTGGAGATCTTTGAACTGAAACAGTAAGTAATAATCACCCAGGACATTTAAAAATATATAAATTTTATTTATAGAAGCATTTCAGAACAGTCAAGGTAACCGTAGATAGGAGCAAATATTAGGTACAGTAAGTATAATATAAAGCAGGGAATCTCACAGGATCATACAAGTCAAGTCTTCTTTGTCATCTTTCCTTCATGATATCTAATATTTCATGAGGGTGACTTCATGAGTTGTATTTTGGTTTTGAGTGAATGATTGGATTCCCTTTGTCCTTTCAGCTGCCTTGACAGCACACCTGAGCTGAAGAAATGGACAGAGCGCATGTTGGAGGACCCGGCTGTCAAAGCCACCATGCACAGTGAGGACACCTACAAGGCCTTCTACAAGAGTTACACTGAGGGAAAACCCAACTATGACTATGGCCTGTAGAAAATAAGTGATCCAAACCTTAAACCGTCCATTTGTTTGGTTTTTGATCATGGTTAGGCTGGAATCTGTCTTTGAAAGTGTGTAATAGGAAAGTATACTATAGTGAATATCATGATGAGTTAATATTAAGAACAAAAATGTATTTTATTGGACATTTAAGACTTATTTTGGTATTGAAGGGGAAATATGAACCATAATGGGAATGAGGCATATTGAGCTAAATGTGACTCAAGATGTTTTCAATGATCCATTCAAAAGTTTGGAACTTTTTCTAATAAAAATTGGAGATGTAATGACTCCGGCCTGAATCTGAATTTTCTGTCTGTGTTATAATAAACAAAACAAAAAACTCTTTTCCCCGCAGGCTGCACAAGGTTGTCCCATTTAATAAACTGCAGTTCTACCAAATATTTGACATCAACCCAGTGGAAATGTAACCAGAAAAAAACATTTGAATTCTAATAACCAATAACAAAACAAGTATTTATCATTGAACATTACAAAATGTTATAGCTGCCATCAGATTCGCAACAGTATGAATGAAAACAAAAACACTGCGATACTGTTTGGTACAGGGATACATTGATTTATCAGCCAATCATCAGCACAAGCTGATCCCCGCTTTGTTGATTGACATCGGCCACATGAACCGATAATTATCTTTTGTGTCGCACTGAATTTTGCGCTGGCTAAATGTTGTGTTGGTTATTTCCAACTCGGATATTGGAGAAATAATAACTTCTGTTTTCCAGCACTGGCACAAATTTCACGCAAATACAGATGTGCTCCATGCAGCAGCACGGACAGTGAGCGGCTGTTCAGTTCTGTGTGTCACATCTTGGATGAGAACAGAAGTGGACTGAGCTGCAAACTGGCAGAAAAGAGCAAATAAATAGTAAAAAATAATCTGCATCGGCTATCAGCTAATTTGTTATTTTAAACATCTATAAATCAGCCCAGAATCTCCCGATCAGTGCATCCCTAGTTTGGTCATTCATCCCTGTTAGACCAGTAACATGAGAGGTATTTCAGACAAAAGTGCTTTGCTTTTTGTCAGGAGAATACTGAAATGCTTTTCTAAAATAATCCTTCATGTAAATTACTAGTTGCTGCTTCTTTTAGAGGCATTAGGGATATCTACAGAAAATTGTTATGCCCATAAAACAAGCAATATGACTTATAAGCTTCAGAAACAGTCCTACAGACTGAGACTGAATTAAATACAACTACATGGGTAAACAATACACCCATCAAATCTTGTAGGGCAGGCACTGTTTTGCCAACTAGATTTTACAGGCAGAAATGCTGCTAATGTATTGTTTGAAGGCCAGATTCTCAACACACTGGCTACCTTGTTGAATGTAAAGAGAGCAGCTGCAGCAAAAACCACCACACATCTAAAATATTGCCCGTAACTAAAATAACTGTTGTATGCGCACCTTTCATTTCAGTACTTGTGCATTACTCTTAGTAACACTGAATGATATTTTAAGGTCTGCTAGTGCTGAAAGTATGAAATAATTCATGAACACTGCCAAAGCTCACACACTTCCATCCAGGCTGTGGTGTAGACCTCCATTTGATAAGTGAGGTGTGTACTCTTGTATAAGCACAGGTGCATTTCTCAACATCTCGTGGAAGTGCCTCATTGTAGCTGCATGAAGCTCCCTCTGCAACACCAGAGACCGAAACAGATTGATGGGCTCCGCTTTGCGAATTATCTCAGGAACCCGGACGTCCTCTGGCACTTTACTGTTCCCGATCAGAACGTGATGAAGTCTCTTCTCCTGCAGGCTCCTCTGCAAGAAGCTGAGCACATCCCGAAGTCTGTGCTCCGTACTCTCAATGCCCCACAATGAGGGCCTTTTACTCAGCAACAAGTGCAACAGAGCGGTCTTTAAGTGATAGTTAGTGAGGGCACTTTTTCCTGTGAGCCCTGTCTGCTTTCTGTGCAGGAAAGTAACAATCTGTAGGCAGTGTAAATGACAGGAATTTTGTGGTAGGCGTTTGGCAAAATGTTTCAGCAAATTCCTTTCGTAGGCAGCAAAAGAGAGGGGCCAGTATGGGTCGGGAGAGCTGTCACAATCGGAGGGAAAGTGTGAGACAAAATAGGCATCTGTATCCTCTAGCTGTAGCACCGGTATGATGTTCATTACGATGACTTTCCCTGAACGGAATCGGATCTTCAGAGCACCGGCGGCATCCAGGTTGCGAAAAGTGACCTCAAAGTCGTATTTGTGAGAGATGCGTCCCCACGCTTTGGTTACAGAGATCTGAAACCACTTCATGACTCGATCTTTGGCTAAGAAAGGTGTGTTCCTGGAGCACAGCAGTTCATCAGGACTGCGGTCCACTTTGAGCGTGTCGTTCCTGCTGTGCAACAGACACAGCATGTCCTCTCCCAGGTTAGCAGAGCCACAGAGACAGCCCTCATCGTTCTCCCCAAACCTGGTGACTTTTATCTTGCCACAGCCCTGCATGTCCGGAGGCACGTCGCTGGAGGGGTTGCACCACAGATGGAACTGGAAGGAGTACGGATCTGGAGGCGAGAAAGGCACTATAAGGTCGCACATCAGTGGCTTACACACCTTCCAAGACTCGAACATGCTTCCAATCCCGACAAAGTCCCCGACTTCCATGTCTGCCTCCCTGTCGCACACGCTCCTGAGCGATTCCAGCAGGTCATCGGCGAAACCCTCGACAAACTCCCTCACCCTCCAGTTTTCATGAGATGAAGTGTAGCTGCATTTGTCACAGAAGTTTCTCAGGACATCTTTATCGAGTACCACCGTCATGGGGGTGACTGATCCACTCTCTGAAAATATGTCTTCATCCTCAACTGGCTTGATTTCTGTGTCGGCAACATCCACCCTGTACATCTCGATAGTGAAGAATATGACGAAAGACACAGTGCTCCAGAAGTACCAGCTGTAACCCTCCTCCGGGGTGGTTTCTTCCTGCTGTGACTCCAGCTGTGAAAGCTCTTTCTCCAGCTTGGCCTGCTCCATTTCCAGCCTCTCCTCGTGCTCCCGCATGCGAGCCAACAGAACCTCGTCCTGCTCCGGGAGTGTGGTGTTCTCTTGAGGAAACAGCAAGGGGTGGTTTAATATGGCAGCGGCCACCACCACACACACACGTGCAATGGCCCCCTGCATCTTCAGCTCGTTTTTAACGTACACATTTAAGCACCTAGTAGACGTCCGGGCAGCTGAAGCTCAGATCCTGAAACAAAAACAGAAATGGTGGTTTTATTGAAGTGGATTTAAGTGTGCTGAATAACATGTATGAAAATCATGCTATATATATATAAAATCCTGTTATATTTGTAAACCACTCCACCAGGGAAGCACAGATTGTACCTCTAAAAATAGAGGCAGTGGGCTGAGTGACGCACTCGGCCAGTATCAGACTGTGCAACATGGGAGGAAGGAAGATCGAGCCCTTTAGAAGAACGTCGCCCTCCTCTGATAAGTTACTTAAATTATGCCTCTTAACATCCTGTTAACATTTTGTCCAAAATAAAATGAATGACACCTCCCTTTCTGGAAAATGTCCAAATAAAGTTTCTAAGTGAAACAATGTGGAAAACTCTCACACTGACATTATTATCTTCTTTCCTGGACGTCATCAGATGGCCGATAAGCAATGCAATATATTGTACAGAGGAGGAAATTACATAAGTCTCTTGCTTATGTTCCAAGTAGAATTTAAAGAGACAACTGCACAATGCTCCGGTAAGGATGTACTTAATAAACTACCGTTATTGAAATCTTCAAAATAAAAGGCATATAAAAGTGTCTACAATGGGACTTCCTTTAGCGAATAAGAGGAACAAGAAATAGGACGTACACATGCATCATGATCTCACTGTAAGATCATGAGATTATGAGCTGTTCTCTGTCAGACTCGAGTTTTAAAATGGCAGCAGTAATGGCAGAGTATGTGAGGCCACAGTCAGGGAAATTTCCCATGACTTACTCACTGGGATGTGGTCCAACACTTACATTGCTCAGTCCATCCAAACAAACATCAGCCCAGGCAGAGAGGCATGTGCTGTGCTTCATTAAAACATATTAGAGATCACCTATTGTTAAAGAACATGGTCAACATAAATAAAGACTGAGAAGATTAAGAAATTAAACATTATTTATGTTAAAACTGATCTAAAAAAAAGTTACAAATCTCAATTTAAAGCATTATGGGGTTTTTGCTGCTGAAAGCAAAACCAGGTCTTTAAATAGACTGCTGTGTAAATGCATTTCCTCTAGTTGTGCTACTGTTTCACTGTGTTTAAACATGTATCCTGTTACATTAACTAGTAAGAACACTATGTAAAAATGCTCTGGTACAAGTAAACCTTCTGCCTTAAATATTTTACTGAAATATTATAAGCTATATATCGTCATTAATAAATCATCGTTATGCATTATCATGTGAACAGCATGTTGCAGGCTGGTGGACTAGGAGCTGGGGTGTTGGGTAGTTTAATCGATACAAGTGCTTAATATTTTTTAAAGATTTTTGTATGAAACATCTTCATCTGTAAAGTACCCAGTGACTGCAGCTGTCAAAAAAATGTAGTGGAGTAAAAAAAAGAAGTACATTTTACTTTACTACTACGTGTACAGTATTTCAGCTGCAAAATAAAGGCAATGAACAAATGAATGTACCAATAATTGTAATTTAATAATATGATATGATATGCATAATGAGCAGTTTTACTTTTGATAAAGTAGGGGATACATTTTGATGCTAACACTACTTCTACTCAATATAAAATCTTACTTTAATTACTTTAGTACACTCCTGAATCCAGGACTTTTATGTGTAAAAGGAGTATTTACACTCTTTAAGTAAAGTAAAAGTAGCCAACTTTAAAACTGTACTTAATTTAAATGTAAAGTGGATGTATAATACCATATTTGGGTGTTTGGAGTAGGCTAAATAACTCTCACTATGACGTTTATGTGCACTACAGTGACGTCGTTTCGACACATCGCCAACGGTTTCCTCCTCGGTTGTCTAGCAACAAAATAGTGACCCCGCTCATCACGGAAATGTGCAGACAGACAAACATTATTCCACACTCATGAGTCACTTTAAGGCCTGTTCAGCTAACAAACTGAGCTCTGTGTGATGCTGTGTAAACCTTTAAGAAACAAACAACAACAACTAAAACGTTTATTTTCCCGAAAATGTGAGCAACGAGCATCATTCGGGCGAGATAAGTGCATGTTTTGCGGCTCTTCGTCGATGTAAAAGTCTAGAGGACACATTTAGAAGATACACGGTGTATAAAAGTTGATATATCCTACCTTTGCTCTGTTTTCTGAGTTCATGGTGATAAACTCATGTGGCGGGCTCCCTCCTGTGAACGCAGCCTCTTCAAACTCATGCGAACAGCGAGGGAACAGTTTCAGCTTTTTTCTTACACATTTCCTGACTGTGAGCTCCACCCATACACACAGACACCGCCCAGCTTCCTCCCTGCCACCACAACAGGCCCTGTGAGCTGGGAGGAGGACGGTGTAGGACTTATGTTAAATATCATAAATGTATCAGATGGATATGTATATGGATGTAAATGTATGGTAAATTAAGTCAGTCTAAATAATACTGTGCATTTCACTTAAATGTAGCCACTGTGTTTTTATGGACTATTAAAATGTTATGCTCCTTCATACAAACTTGTAGTTATAGTTACTGTGCAGATTGAGAATTTAAATACAAAAACATGCAATCACCTCATAAAAGTGCAGCTAATTTTGAACTATTTTAAATAGGACTGCAAAAGTCATTGTTTCTTAACTCATCTCTCTTTTTTTATGTAGTTTGTATTTATATGCTTCCTGTGTATGTATAATAGGGTATGGTTATGCGTATGTGTGTTATATTTTTATTTGTTTGTTTGTGGAGCACTTTGTAACTCCGTGTTAAATCATGCTTTATAAATCAAGCTTTACTTGCTTACTTACTTACTAATTAATGATTATGCAAATCATTTTCTATATAAATCAATTGATTGTTTGGTTCATAAAAAGTCAGAATATAGTGATCAGTGCCATCAGAATCACACAGAGCCCAAAGTGGTGCCTAATAATGCTTGTTTTGTCCAACCAACTGAACAACTATTGCTAAAAATAGAAATAAAAAAGGATTATTAAAATAGCTGCCAATTCATTTTGTCAATGGATTAGGTTAAATATTAGGTTTATTTGTACATTTTCACATGTTTTGCATGCAAATATCTTAATTTGTGAAGTGGCAGAAGTGTAAAAAGACACGCAGGAAAGTACAAGTACCTGAAATATTTACTTAAATACAGTACATGAGTAACTTAGTTACATTCCATCACTGTGTGACTGAAGGTAAGAAGATGTATGTTGTATTGTTTGTTAAAAATCCTAAAAACATGTGCTTCTTCCACACAGTCTGTCAGCACAAACACGCTCCAGGAATATACCTCCTTCTGATACAAGAAGGTGAATCTTAAAATGCCTTCTCACTGTTGGTATCCTACAGGGGACAGACTGTGACTGACTCAGTAACAATACAATGTACAGTAACATACTGTATAACTTTGACACGCGATGGTTCAAAGTTAATCACTTCCTTTCTATGATTAAAAAATAAATGTTCTTTTATTATTTGCAGGTCCCTTTATGTTGATATTGAACAAGTTAACAATTGAAAACATGTACTGTGGAGGTAATGATAAGAAGTAATCTATTAGTCTAATCTATCAGTTAAGGTTAAAAATATATATTTCACACCTCAAAATGTTCAAAAGCAAATAATCATTGTACACAAAAAAGCTCTCTGTATATTTAATTTTATTTACTTATTTGACGTTTAGATCCATAATGTTCATTGATGAAATTAGTAGTTGTGAAACCTAAAATCTTAATCAGCCAGTGGAGGGTGTTCATAAAAGCATTTATTGTTTTTTGTTAATTTCCAGCCTACTTAAACTAACATGCTGCAAAAAAATGTAAATTAAACAGACCACAATTAAAATAAAAAAGATTTCTTAAATTTTACAATTTAAAATGAACAAATTGGGCCTTGGTGTGAATCTGATATTTCAAAATAGCTCTGCTAACCTTGGAAAATACAAAATCATCATCCTAAAACAATCAACACATGGTCACTGTTATAGCATAATGTAACAATGTCACTTCCTCAATAAATATTCTGCATCCACAAGGTGGCGCTTCATACTTGTATAAAAGAGACCTACAGTCAGGGAGGGCAGGACACACAGGAAGCACAGACTAAACACAACTCATTCCTTTCAACAAATTCCTCAGGTAAGTACCACAACAACAATCACAAAAAATATGAGCTTTGGAAGCCGACGTTCATATACATATTAACATTGTTTCATTCACTGATAGACACTGTTGCGTGATGCATCAACACTAAAAATCCTGTCTTACTAACATTAAACAAGCCCCTGTTTTCAAAGTGATAAACAGTGTCATTATCAAAGGACATACACATGTGACGGAATAAATCTCTGGTGAAGTTTTGTTTTGGCACTGTCTTTAATGTGAAACCCCCCAGGAAATGCTTTGTTGCTCAATGTCGCAGCACTTCACTAAAGTAGAAATGTCTGTACAGTCAGTGAGGCTTTCTCATACTGCAGAGTGACAAACTCACAGAGCACAGAGATGCTTCCTCTGCAGATTCTTTGGGATTGGCTAATACAACAGAGCCTCCTCAGATCTCCGTTTTTCCCAGTTTTATTCTCTCTGACTGTGTACCTGAGCTGCTGCTTCCCTTACGTTTGTCTGGATTTGCTCTCTTCTAGACTGACCCAGGTACACCGCTTCAAGATCCAGCCTCAAAGCAAGGTGACATGGACAATGGCTTACAGTTGCTTGCGCAAAATTGTCCACAACCATGTCTGTTTCATTTTCCCTGCATCTCTTGTGCACTGGTACTTTAGACCTGTTTTTTATCCTCCACTGGCACCTGAGATGCTGTCTGTTGTTAAGGATATACTGGCCTGCCTCCTCCTGTTCGACATGCAGTACTTTTTGTGGCATCTGCTGCATCACAAGGTGTCCTGGCTCTACAATGTCTTCCACAAGGAGCACCACTTCTACACGGCTGCCTTCTCGATGATGACCGAAGACACAAGCATCTGGGAGATGCTGAGTCTCAGCTTTTTCACGACACTGAACCCCGCTCTCCTGGGCTGCCATCCACTCACAGAGATGCTCTTCTATGTTACTAACATGTATCTGTCTGTGGAGGCTCACTCAGGCTATGAATTTCCCTGGTCTCCACATAGACTCGTGCCCTTCGGCCTCTACGGAGGAGCTCGGCATCATGACCTCCACCACCTAAAATTCAGAGTAAACTACGCGCCATACTTCACGCACTGGGACAGACTTTTTGGCACACTGCAGGGAAAAGACACTCAGAAGAAGTCAAGAAACAAGAAGTCATGATTATCAGAATGTGTGATGGACATTATTTCCAGCTGTCAACCTGCAAGAAAAGCAACTAAAGATGAAAATTGACTTAATCAAAGCTATATTCTTGACAACAGCGACCAATAACTGTGTCAATATGAACATGGGCATGCCATCATTTTATTAAGATGGACATGAAAAAATCTGAACTTAAACTGTAAAGGTGGCTGTAAAAAACTCAACTTCGTCAGATCAGTACAAGGTACGAGTTATCAATCTACAGTCACATATGTAGTATATAAATGTATTTATCTTCAAAGGTTGGAAGTCTTGTCACTATTGGAATTATATAACTTTTCATCATCATTATAATGTAACTGTATTTCAAAATATCACTTAAACCTCATAAATGTTATATACTTATTTTATTAATCTAATTTACTTCACTTTTGCCACAGATGTTGTTGATGTTTGTTTGATTTTTTTGTAATGCTTTCGAAACTGACAAAATGTAATTAATATGGCTCAATAAATGGCCTGACATAAAGTGTTATACCTTTAACCTACAGTCAGTTGGTAAAATACCCTTTTTATGTTTTTCCTCTGCCCTTTGAGCTGAAATAACATTTAAATAACAATTTGTCAGTGCATGCAAATGGTTTTTATTAAAATGCAATGTAGTGGTACACCCACCTTGTCCCAGGAAGTCAATCCAACCATGTATTCCTGTCTATCTACTGGCACAATGCACACATCATCTGTTTGCACTTACCCCCTGTAATGTGTAATGTGGAGCTGAAATGACACTTACATAACATTTGTCAACACAGAAAAAAACATTTCTTTTTATGAGGTACTGTGAGGTGGTACACCCACGCTCTTCTAGAAAGTCAAACTTGTATCCACATCTGTACTCACAATCTGTTTTCACTCGCTCTCTTTGCACAATTTGTACTAAAACTAATTTTTATTACTATTATACCTACATATAAAAACCAAAGCTGGAGATCCATCAGATGAAAAGAAAAAGTAAAAAAGAAAAATTACAGAATGAATAAATACATATACATACAAATAGATTAAAAAAATATTCCAGGTTCAGTTTACTTTAGCTTGTGGTATCTAATAACTTTACACATTCATTTGACATCTTCATCCATTTCATTCCTCTCTTTTCATTCAAATGTTAAATCATTTCTCTCCATTTTGATCTTTTCTTTAGTAATTAATCATTTCAATAGATACTCAACTGTAGTCTTTTATTCATAAAGCAGAATGGACTGCACAAGTGATGATATAGTTGCTGATCAGAAAACACTGATGTGTCTGATACGAAGCTGATGCCTCAACAAAAAAAGAGTCCACCAAATTACCCAAATGTGGTCAGAAACTGCTAGAAAAAAAACCTGATGGTAAAAGTGAATGAGGGCACATTGGTGCCAATGTCACTATTTTTGGCCGAATGATGAGAAATGAAAGTAGACAGACTAATCAGCAGACTGGAAATAACCAGGCTAAAATGATCGTCTTCCTTCCTCAGGGATTTACAAGACAGGAACATGAATCTGATGAAGCAGTGGCAGACTCAGGCGGTTTGAGGGGCAAAACAAAAAGGGCACCAGTGCACTAAAAGTTGTGATGCATTCATGGTGAAACAGCTTAGTCAACGTTAGAATTGGCATGCTAGCCTGCACTTTATTGCAATTATTGTTTTATATTCTTCTAGTTGGTGGCTTTTGCTCCGTGACTGCTGATGTCTAACTAAGCAGCTGTTTGCCAACAACTTTGCAGTATCAATATAAAAGGTGAAATCTCAATGTTAATTTAGAGTAGGTAGGAGGTATCAATTGTAAGGTGCAATAACACATGAATACAAAAAGATTTTGTTACACTATTACAAGAATGAGCAAAAAATGGAGCTGATATGAGTTAATGGCAGTTCAACCATCTGAATTCAGCTCAGCCTTCCAGGCTTTTAGGGGAAACTACTGTGGCCACAAAACAGCGGTTGAACATGGTGGCCTCCAAAGGCCCCTCTGTAGATACGAACAGCTCATTCGAAGGTAACAAAAATACAACTATTCCTATTTTCAGGTGATTATACACTAATGAAAGCATACATATGAATATTATATTCAATTTCTGCCAATAGATCCTCCTAAATGTTACACACTGCACCTTTAAAGGTAGATGGGTTGAAACTTCACTTTGTTTCTGCTTTAAATATTCAGGTATTTATAAAAACATTTGTGTAACTCCACTATTAATTTCTTTATTACACATTCCCACAATGTTTCTATCAAACCCTTTCAATGCAATCTCAAAGTTCAACTTTACAAAATGTAATTTTATTCGACCACAGACTTATTCATAGCAGCATCAAACTCAGCCTTGACAACATAACCAGAATTTTAAAGAATGTGGAACTTGGAAACCATTATAAATAAAAGCTAATGTTCACCTGACTCAATTATGGTGTCACCACTCTACTAAACAAAGTCAGAAGTGGAAGTGGGTTCTCTGGTTAATTTTGTTCTATTCATCAGCTGCATCGATTACTCAATTCACAGGAAAGTACCCAACAATTGACAGTACATTGTTTAAGTAATCTTCCCACTAAAAATAGCAGACATTCTTTCTTTACGGCTACTTTACTTTGTCTCTGTGATAATAAAGGGCTTTTCTTTTTTTTTAGACAGCATTTCAAGCTAAACAAGCAATTTGAAGACAGGGGTTGGGTTTTAAACTGTGGTGTGTCATTTTATAGATTACTCACTTCTTGGGTAACACTTTAAATTGTTTAAAAACAAACAAACATGGAAAGTGGGTAATTTTGTTGTACATTCATGGTGCCATGAGCTGAAATGATTAGTTGACAGAAATTTAATTGTGAGCAATTTGTTACGAAATGACAAAACTTGTGAAGATTAAAATAAACTGAAACAAAATACACAACACTATTTTCAACTATTTGTCTGATACTTTATAGATCAAACAATTAATTGAGTAATTAAAATTATAAGTAATTGCAGCCCTAGTGGTAATAAAACACCATACAACACCAGAACAAAAATGTCCCTTGAGGGAAAAATCCCCCCCCCAAAAAAAACCCTTTATCAGCAGCAACAGATGTTCTGTGTGTTATGTTCTGTGTAATAGACAAAGAAATCACAGTACATCCAAATTAGGATGATTACAATTACAGATACATGCAGATTGTATAACATATGAGAAGAATATGGGTCAAGGAAGACATTAAGCAACTTCAGGTGTCGCTGAGAAAGGTAGAAACTTAACCACACAAAGAGGACTGGAAAGAAAAAAAAAACACGAGGCATGCACAGCTGTTATCTCCTGGGGGACGATGATCCAGATCAAACATCTGGATGGGGCACAGAGATGCCAGGAGAGAGAGAGGTCCCAGCATGGCCAATAGCAGGCTTATACCCAGAGTCTAAATCCAGTGAGTCTGACTATGAGGTGTGTATGATCTGACATGGATAGGGAAGCCAGTATTCTAAAGTAGTCTGAAGTATTACAGTACTGGAACATTATAGTAATCAATCAATCTGGTACGGGGTCAAGGAGGCAGGTAGTTGATTTTGAAGCTAAAACAAGTTTATACAATGTCTGAAGAGAGATTAGTAAGAACTGAGACTGGGAACCAGCAATCAGTGTACGAATATTGTAAGACCAATTCTGCAGACGTACCTGGGCATAAGGAAGTCATTTTGTATACAATTTATTTTCAGATGATGGCTTTTCAGTAAGTTTAACTACAGTGTCCCCCAAAAAATCGAAAGAGATTTAAGAATTATGTGTCGGTAGGTCTATCTGTATTACTTATACTAATTAATATAACAATTATGGGGTGCAGTAATGTTACTACGTAGCAAAATAAAAGCATGGTAAAGTACACATAGATATTTCTAAGTACTTAGATGTTAAAGATGTTACAGTCAGTCAGACGTCACTGCAACAAGCCTCAATAGTTATATACTGTGGTATTCTCGTTTGAATATTAGAAACAGCTGAACTGAAAAATCTGGTGTCCATCAGCATTAGATGAAACAAATTTAGACAAATAACAATTTCATAATACATAAGGAACCAAAATCCATGTGACACTTATTTACAAATTTATTGCACAATATATAAACTATGGCACACGCAATTCATCACAAAAAATGGCACATATCTCCACAAACATTATGTAAACACAGGATTTGGGGTTTGAAAAAAACCTCTCACACCATTATTTCATACACTGGGAAGCAGACAGTAGTGGATTCCTCCGTGTCTTTCCTCTGTAGATTGCTGTAGTCCTCAAAAATCTTAACTCACACGTTTACAATTCAGCAGTTCAATTCATACATTAGACAGCACTGCAAACATTTTTAAAAAAGTGCTCACAATAGACACATTCAAACCGGAAGCTTTCATCTATTAACCACGACTCAATATGTCTTTCACATTCTCGGCCTTTCTCCTTTTGCCACTTCTTTGTAGGATTTCAAGCAAGTTCTTTGCTGCATCCGAGCCCTGTTTCTCCACCCAGATCATCAGTAGTTTGACAGTCTGCTCCTTACTATCATGAGGGTGGTCCAGTTGACAGGACTCAATAGCAGTCATTGGTATCTTGCTACGTATTGCTACATACTTCATATCCTTCCATCCCATCGCTTCTGCAATGTCAGGTAGGTAAGGCTGGAGATCCTTATCTGACAGTGTGAAAGACAGGGAAAATGAGGATTAATGAAACAAAGTACAACACACATTAAGATTTTACTGAACCTGCAGGGGCATTTACAGTTACATTTACAGTGGTCGCAGCGGTTAGAAAAACAACAGAGGTTTATTATAGGCAGGTTTAAAAATGGGGAAATCATCTTCCTGTGCCACAGAAATAACTACATAAAAATAGTAACAGGAAAGCTGCCACAAAAATGGCAAAAAAGCATAGATGTACAGGTTGTTGTAATTCAATTTACAGGTAACAGATAATAACTGGGTATATATCAGCATATCACTTATATTGTAGTGGGCAACGTTAAATTAACTTCTCCTTGGCAGCGTTACTGCAGCTAACAAGACAACAAAATAACATTTTGGAAAGATATGTGACTCACAACTGATTGTTATAGACTAAATAACATAAAATATAACCCTCCCAAACAGAAATCAGCTAACATAAACTTGATATCTGACTAAATATAAAATGTCAATTAAGTCTGATTATCAATTGATCAGTTTTTTCATCTGACAAGCTCAAAATATGTTGAAAAAAGCAATTCAAGCTCTAATATTGCATCAATTAAACACATGGTCTCTGACTTTTCTTACCATAAAGAAGCTGCATCTCCTGAGGAACAGAAGCAGAATGAATGTTAATAAACGATTTACAAGTCCACAGTGATAAAACTGCTTACACAATAGTACTGACACAGAGCAAGCACACTAACAACGACACCAACGCTTTCAGGCAACTAACCTGCAGCTCCTACAGAAAGGGGCAGCTATGCCAACATTAGAGGAGAGACAGAAAAGCGTTTATCATACATGCATATGTGCGAGTGTGACAAAAGAGGTTAGATAAAACTGAAAAACAGGACGGAGGCCAAACATTTTACAGCTGGTCAGTTATAAACTGACTAAAAGAGGAGCATAGCTAATAATAAAAGGTATACAAAGTTATTGATAAGATATAAGATGGAATATTTATTATTCCATAGCTCTGTTTTAACAAAATCTAACAGACATCACTATTGTTAACACAAAAAAAAACATACAAAAAACTTTGGCAAACATACTTTGGCTTTTGAACATAATAAAGGCTTTAAAATGTTTGGCACAAAATAAATTATTATTATTATTACTGACCAATAATTTATCAACTATAATTTAAATATATATATAACACACATCCTATTTACTGGCCTTTATATTGCCTAATATTGTAGATAGATAGATAGATAGATAGATAGATAGATAGATAGATAGATAGATAGATAGATAGATAGATAGATAGATAGATAGATAGATAGATAGATAGATAGATAGATACTTTATTTGTTTGTGCATCCCAATAACTTACCACATCATTTGGCAGTTGGCCTTGCCTCTGTCTGCCTTTTGAGATAAATTACAAAAAAAGAATACACAAACATTAGTGAAAACCTACAGAAATGGCAATTCAATCTTAATGTTACTTAAATGTGAACCAAACCACAGGTACTATCACATATCACACATAACACATGAGGTTCTGGTGCCCTCTGTTGGTCCCATTACTTATAGTTGTATAGTGGTAGAAATACTCACTGAATGTTCTCTTTTTCCAAATAAACACCCCAACCATCACCGCTGCTGCTGCTACTACTGGAATAATTACAACAGCAATAATTCTGCCTGTATTTCCCCCTGGAACACAAATATATGGACATGTTTTTAGCACACACAGAATGATGAAATTATTGTAAAATATATTACATGAAGCCGTCATGATTTAATTCAAAGGCAGCCATGCGAAACTAAACCATACCTTCACGTATTTCCTTGCAGACTGTATTACTGTGGCCTGTACACGGTTCTTTGATGTTCTCAGGACCGTCACATCTTGAACCAAAAGAAAAGCAAGTGACAAAACTGAATGGTGACAGCAAAAAATAACTAAAACATCTTTATCATTCTTTTTAAATTCTGCTGGTAGTCTATGAGGCCAAATCCATAAATTGGAGACACCGTTTTGGAGACATACACATACATCTTCTAGTGTACAGATATTTGAAGAACTTACGTTTTACAGGGGTGGCAAAGTTTACAGCTTTCTTCGGCAGTAACACAGTAGTGATCCTTTTTACATCCACACTTTGCGTCACTGGCAGGAGTGCAGTGTTCGACAACTTCTAGATTAGCTGAAAGGATAATAAAACCACACCGCTGACATTAGAGGAGCTGTAGTTATTTGCGGTACATAAATGCACATTTTGAGAGGCAGAATGTTTAATATTATGGTCGTATTATGGTTGTATTACCAGGATTTACTCCATTTTGTTTTCTAAAAAAAGGTATTGACTCTGAGTACTGAATTTTCATAGATAAACTGAATTATTGCTCTAGATTATTATTTTCTGATCGGTATATATCTCACTGCATGGAATTGATTGTGATTGAGGCGGCAACTAACAATTATTTTCATTATCAATTAATCTGGCCATCATTTTTTAATCACGTAATGTTTCATCTAGAAAATCAGAAAATAATATTTCATAACATGTGTCCAGGTATGTGGAGCTTATAGTGTTGTAGTATATCTTAAATGCTTTGTATGTTAGGTAGCATGGTTTCCTCCTCATTTTGACATGTCACAGTAGGAACTGCACAGCTTTTAAATATAAAATTACTGATGGCTGAATTCCATTTAGCTTGCTTCAGTTTCAAGATCTTGGTTTTGTTCATGCTGGTTCAATGTTCAACTTACTGGGATTTAAGTAGATGAATAATAAGAATAACACATAAAAAAGCTGTACTGCACTGAAACCTCGTCTTTGGGATTTTTTTTTGTTTTTAATGGAAATAAATGAACCAGTGAAGTCCATTGTGATACCATTGGGGTGTGAGCAGGATGTGCAGGGCTCACAGGACGTCTGGTCATTATGGTAACTGCTGTACGTCTCAGCCTCACATTCTTTGCATTCGCCACGTTGTAGATTTGTATTGCAGTGCTTCACCACACGCCAACCTACAGCATGGAGACACGAGAGCCAGAGGCAGAAGAACACATTTTAGTCAGTGTGAGCCAGCCTATGATACACACACCCACATGGACATCGTTTGAAAATGTCCATATTTATCAGCGTCTTGTTGAAAGGTCCAGTGTGTAGGATTTAGTGGCATCAAGGTGCAGATGGAAACTCACTCGTTTCACCCTCCCCTTCCGAGCACGAGGGAAAAACTACGGAGGCTGCTAAAGGTGCAAAACTGCCAACGGCCCTATCTAGGGCCAATGTTGGTTTGTCTGTTCTGGGCAACTGTAGAAACATGGCAGTTCAACATGGCGGCCTCCATAGAAGGCCTCCCCGCTCATTCTAAGGTCACCAAAACACACTTATTTTTGGGTGATTATACACTAATTAAAACCTTTAATACCTATGAACATTATATTACATTTCAGCCATAAGATCCTAAACGTTACACACGGGACCTTTAAAAACAGAACACAACGTTCTGATAGTGGGTCCAACTGCACAAAAGTTGTCTTTACCCACCACAAACAAATTAGGGGTGATTTGTTTGGTAATATGACCTAAAGCACAATAAAACCTAAAATGGTACACACATAATACCTGTAGTTTTACCTTTTCTTGAGGCCTTGTCATTTAAAAGGGCCTTGTTTCAAATGTTGTTTTAGCATCTTAAATATCTCAGTTAATATAATGCTTACATATGAATTTGCTATGAATTTGCTTCCAATCACATTTTAATCAAACTAGCTTGAGGCCCACAGCTCCATTTTGTCCCAGGGTTGATTACAAGATATAGTATTTTTGTGGCTAACAGGGTGGTTTTATAATGTAAGGTCTTTTACATACGAGTTGGTGTTTAAAATTTTGCCTTTGCTCAAAACTCTGCCGCTGATTGGTTTACAGACTTATCTGGTGAGATTAATTGTAAACCTAGAGCACGTTTGACAGAATTTTTTTTCCCCCAAAGAACAGAAGCAGACAAAGTTGAAGATATCCAGAAAATCACATCATTCACAGTTGAACATTAAACAATATATTATCCAATGCTATCTAGCAGCCCAAATTAAAGAACTTGTAAACTGATTTCTCTGTAGCTACTCACATGTAAACCCTGACACTTACCAGCACCACACACCGACAACAGTTCTTCCCGTTATGATTGTAGGTCCCATCTGTACACTGGCCTGAGGCAGGAGAAAAGGCCCTGGTGATAAGAAAGCCACAGTAAAACTAAAGTGAAAGTACAGCAGGTTTCTAATTGTACACTTTTCATTATAGGAAAACATCTATGTCATGAGGCTGAGACAGTTGAGCATATCCTTTGAATTTGGCGTGGACATCAAGGTTACGTCGCTGCAGTTGCGTGTGCATTATGGTGGCAGGAAAACCTCGGAAACAAGTGGAGGGTAACCAAGAGAAACTGGGAGATCCCCAGAATAATCAGGACTGTGCATGTATTTATGAACCACAGTAACAAGACATTTGATCATTATCAGTCATAATCATACAGTTTATCCTACCAACAGCTGAGTTTCAAACAAAATACACACCCAGGTGTACAAGGGGCTAAAATAAAAAATTCCAGGACAAGATACCGTAAAACTTAAAAGCAACATCCCAATTAGACTCAGGTAGCCTGGTGCAGCTACATGTTTTGATAAATAAAGGCAGGTGTCAATTAGAGGCCTGGTCTGGATTCTATAGAAATTCTTTGGATGTATAAAACCTCTTATAGCCCATTGGTCGCCTGCTTGAGCGAGTTCTAAGCTATACACAAAACTTTCGAATTTATGTACACTTTACAATGTTTTTGTATGAAAGCTTGCCTCTGTATTGTTGTAACCCCCCTGGCGGCGTTTTGTTGATATTGCACCCTGTTGACTTAATAAAGTTTCTGAAAAAAAAAAAAAAATGAAGAAAAGGAAAGTGAAAGTAGGTTTCGCCTGCGTAATAACTGGAAGAAAATGTCTTGGTGGATGGATTAATGATTACTTTATCATGTCGGTATCTCTTTGTTTCTCCTTCCAACCGGTTGGAATTAACATCAGAGGTCTGAACTGAGATGTTGTGGTGAGTTCAGGGACCCATTGATTTGTGTCCCAAGAACCCCACCCAGCTCTAAAACACTAACCCTACTACATACTCGACTTAATAAACAGTACTTTAGTATGTGATTTACAAGTAAGGACTGTACTCAGTCACAGTCTTATATGATGTTCAACCTCAACCCAACCTTTTACCTATAAACCTAACCAGTACCATCTCTTACATATATGTATATACACACTGCCGATAGTACCATCACATTATGGATCCAAACCACGCAAACACTATCAATGTGCAACTAAACAGACTAAGACACAAACTTTATGATCTATGTATCTTTACTTACCCTGATGCCAGAAGGAATAACAAAACAGCGGCGATAAAACACATCTTGTCTGAAGCGGCTGCCATCATCGTTACCTCCTAGAGAAATGTGTACAGTAAACCGGCCCCCACCCTACTCTCACTCTCATTGGCTGGTGAGCTCACTTCCTTCATTGGCTTCTTTAACAATCCACAATGAATTGTGCATTTCTTCACTATGTCAAAACTTACAAATTAATTAATTAATACAAATATTAAACTGTACATTACACAAATACACTTATAGTATAGTTTTTTTTGTTGTACTGTAAGATATGTTCCCAATTGAATGTAACTTAAGGACTCTCAAGATGGTAGCCAGTGTAACCGTTCAGTTACTGTGCTTTGGAAAGCCCCACATTACACAACTCTGCCACAGCAGGATAGTACCTAGAATTTTACAAATACTGACATCACACAAGTCCTCCCCAATGCACCTGTCACATCTCACAGACTTATAGTTCAACCAGTAATCTAGTTATTCAGTTCTATCATGTACTTCTGGGGGAGCAATAGTTTATGTATTATTCTACCTGCTTAAAATAAGTAAATTTTACGTTTAAAAAGCATTGAAATCAGCTTGGAAAACATCCTTGTTGCTAAAACATGTGACGTCTGTGCCCTCAATGGCTTTGGTTTATAGGAATATAAAGCTCTCTCTATGGAAAAAAAAATACAATAAAAGGAAAGTCCATTCATGGAAAGAAAGAAACAAACAGAATTAATACATTATACAGAAAAGACAACTCTACAATTGTAATTTGCTATAGAAGATGATAATGAAGTAGTATGGTTTGCAGATGCCTTCCCTCATGTGTGACTCAAACTATTCCACTAGAAGGCGTTATTGCTCTTTTTTTGGTGTGATGGCTGCTATAGAGCCGTGGCTCCTGCTGATGAGGGTCAACAAAATAATACAGTATACCTTGACAGTCTTGATCCGTCAGAATACTGAAATATCACTGATAAATAATGAATGTGATATAATCTGATAACTGCAATCCACACCACAAAGTACACAACAGAAACTACTTTTCAACTCTTTTTGCACAAACTCACCTTGTTACAATTGACAGTTATACTGTTTAAAAAAATGTTTGCACACCATATTCCACTTTATGGCATATTGCATATAGGGTATATATTTTCATTATAGTTTTTTACATTTTTAATTATATCATTATTACATTTTTATTGTATTTTTACTTTTCTCTACTATTTGCACTACATTTCTCTGTGCTGCTGAGCCAAACTTACTAATTACTTTATTTCTCCCACGGGGGATCAACCGAGGAACATCTTTATGATCTTACCCAACAATGATTTATATTACCTGCTGAATTATGTGTGGCATTTATTCCTTGGGTTAGCAGAACCTATGCTTTCTGGCTTGCAGACAGTAAGAGTAAGGTGATTTGTGAAAGTGAAGATTAAAACATTTTTAACCACTTACTGACTCATATCTGTTCTCTCTGTTCCTGAACAGGAAATCAGCCCAAATGGAAATAAATACGAAAGTGATGCAGAACAGCACTGCACAGCTGGATACCTGCAACTGTAGTAAATAAAAGGTTAGGTAGAGTGAAAGTACACTTTTATAATATCATATGAATCAATACCGTTTTAAACTCAGTCTTTGATTTATAAAGTTGTTGTAGAGTGAATTAATGAAGCCCTTAATATGCTATACAAGTCATTTCTGAAATCCTTTCTGTCTGCACTACTAACAAATTAATGTCTCCCCACACCCCAAAAAAACGCCACATTTGTTTGATCTTTGGCAAGTGTAGTTAACAGCAAATTTATCTTTGAACAAAAGTGAAGAAAAAAGTATTTGGCTGGGGAATAAAAACTTAACTTGAAGGAGAACTCCTGTGGGATTTGGTTTGTTTTTGCAAGTGTATCAAATTTCAGCCCTTTGTAGTCCCAGTGAGTCCCAGTGTCGGATTTGTACCAGTCTGTTGCCTGCTCATTTGGCCCACTTAGAGAGCAAAATGAACACACACGCACACACACAGGTGTGATGTAAAACATGAATTAATATTTTTAGACTAAGTACTATGGCTCTATGGATGCCAGTGTCAGGCTTTCGGTCAGTCCACCGCTGGTTCGGACTGAAATATCTCAAAATGTTTTGTAACTTTTGTACAGATATTTTTGGTCCCCGGAGGATGAAGGCTGTTGAATTTGGCGATTTCTCTGACTTTTTCTTCTGGCGCCATGCATCATCAAGTTGACTTTTGTGCCTTTGGGTGAAATGTTCCCACAAATGTTAGACAGATTGCCATAAGATGCTTGTAATCACTTCCTCTCCTTTTCAATGAGTGCCACCATCAGGTCAAAAATTAATATTACTAAGTTTATAAGCAAATATGTGCATAACTAATTATCCCAATCATCCCATTGTGTGTGTGTGTGTGTGTTGTGTGTGTGTGTGTGTGTGTGTGTGTGTGTGTGTTGGGTTTTGTGCTAACGTGCTAAACTAAGATTGTGAACATTGTAAATATCATAAATGCTAAACATCAGTTTAACACTCAGAGCATGTTAGCTTGCAGACATTAGCATTTAGCTCAAAGCACTGCCATACAGCTATTTCAATATATTCTAATATGTCATATATAGCCAAACCT